TTAGATCAGTGCACACCACAGTAAGTAAAAAAGTATCGCTGTGTGTGTGTGTGTGTGTGTGTGTGTGTGTGTGTGTGTCCTAGTCAATACATGCCTGGGTGTCTTCCGAACAAAGTGAGTTTAGACATTTCTGGAACCAGTGGACTGCAGACCAGTCCTTTCCGAAAATCAAGACCAAACCCCACTGCCAAGGAATTTCTCCCGGCTCAGCGAGACCCTATAGGAAGGGTGGAACTGCCCCTTTGGGTTTCTGAGCTAAATCTGTAAAAGCCTGAGCAGCCTCGTCTTGCTCCTATAGAGTGGTCGGCAGAGTCTAACTGCCCACCTTGCAGTGACCAGCCCACCGTGTCACCAGGGCACCTTCAGTCTCCTTAGGGTGCCTTTGGGGAAAAAGTCCAATGAACATGGTGGCTTCCGAGGGGATTGGTTGGGTCCTCAAATTCAATGCTGGGATGTCAGCTGGGAGGTTCTCACTCACTGCCAGCAAGCCAATTTTGACTCATAGTGACCCTACAGGACAGGGTAGCACTGCCCCTGTGGGTTTACCAGATTTCTAGTGACTCCTCATTTATTTCAATTTATTAAAGTCATGTATTTCAGCTTGCTTTTTAAAAAAATAGATGACAGTCTAAAACCAGATGAGTAGCCAGTTTTGAAAATATACGCAGATTTCTCATAAAAGTTCACTTCTTTAGAGAACAAGTTAAACTATAGTACTTAACACAGACTGTGTGTAATTCTTCCAAAATGAAGGAGACTCACTCTTGACAGGAGTAGAAAGTCTCATCTTTTTCCCGAGGAAAGGCTGGCAGTTTTGAAGTGCTGACCTTGTGGTTCGCAGCTGAGGCTGTCACCCACGATACCACCGGGTCTCCTGAGACAGTTAGGGCAGCTGAGTGGAGAAATCCAAAGGAGTCAACGTGGTCAATTTTCTCAAGGATGCCCTATGTTCACAGGGCTTACTAGGAAGATGTTCTAAGGAAGCAGAAACTTGCATTTGTGGGGAAAAGGCCAGGAAAGTGATGCAGACGTTTTCCCACCACCATGGCAATGCTTTTGCCCATTCTTCAAGGGTAGCATGGGCCATGCTGCAAGAGCTTCTTACTCCAGTCACCCCACAGCCCTAGCCTCCCGACTTCAGACTGAAGATCATTGAAAAGGGGAGGAGGATTTGAGCCCTCCAAGGAGTCTCGGCATAGCCTTTTAGACATGGTGCAATTTGAGGAGCACAGAATCCTTTGGGGGAAGGGTTAAAAAGCTAGAAACACTGTCCTCAGAATACCCAGAAACAATAGCTTCACATTTTGATATTTTGGAATCACCAATATGGAAATGATTGTGTAGCAGTGCTTTTTGACTTATTAAGCAAGTGTGCGTCTACAGATGCAAAACATTCATAGGCATGGAAACAGAAACACTTTGCAGCTGCTGCTGTTTCAATTTTGAGTCAAGGCGACCCCATCTGTGTCAAACTAGAATTGTGCTGCAAAAGGTTTTTAAGAGGAGCCCTGGTGGCTTAGCGGTGACCGTTGGGCTATGATCCACAAGGTCAGCAGTTTGAAACCACCAGCTAGCTCCACAGGAGAAAGGGCTTTCTACTTTCTTAGAGACAGTCTAGTCTACCCTGCAACGGAAGGTCGCTTGGAGTCAACATCGACTCAATGGCAGTGCATTTTTTAAAGAGGGTTTTCAATGGCTGTGACCTTTCCCAACTGATGGCCAGGCCTTTCTTCCATGGCACCCCAGGGTGAATTTGAAACGCTAACCATTTGGTTAGGATGCAACCTATTTGGCCACCCAGGGACTCCTTTGGATTGAAGATGTCCCAAATCACAGACATTCTAAATCCATTGCTTTCTCTCCTACCCTATTCAGGGTAGGAATACCAGCTTGTTTCTTTGATGTTGACAACGAGATTCATGCAAATAAAAACACTCTGGGGAACATATATATTTGCTGCCTCACGTGGAGACCTACGCTCAAGCCCCAGGTCCGTTCAGAGGGAAGTGCCCAGGACAGTGAGTTTCTCAGAACCTGCCTGGTCTGATGCCTAAAAGGTGCTGGAAAGACACCCCCCCCTACATATGTTCAAGTTGACATCTGTTTTAAAAACAATTGAAATAATTACGCAAATGTCTAATGTACAGGCAATAGGATGAGAAAGATTATCCTCAAATGACATAACTTTCTTTTGTCTGATATAATTTACAGCTCCTTCTTGCTGTGACAGGAGGCCTGGTGTCGTACTGATTACATGGGCTGCTAACCAAAAGGCCAGGAGTTTGAAACCAGCGGGCGGTTCCTGAGAGAAAGAAGGAGCTGTCTACGCTGGTGAAGGGTTAGTTCAGAAATTCACAGGGACACTTCTCCTTGACCAAGAGGGTTGCTGCCAGTCTCCACCAACTGGCTGGTAGTGCATTTGGGGTCCTGCTGTGATTGTGATTCCTGATCAAATTCCAGAAGATGGAATGGGATTAAGGGACACCTGAAAAGTGAGAATTCCGCACCCAGCCATCTTAATACACTATAGGCACTCCTTTGTTGTGGGGCTACTTCTGGCACATACACACAATCACACATGCACAAAGACACACACACACAGACACACACAGAACACACACGCACACACACAAAGACACAGACACGGGCACCAGGCGCACGCACACACACACACACATACACAACCACATGAGCCCCTGTCTCTTCTAAGAGAGAATCTTTGACGTGGCTTGCTGGGCAGTTTCTTCCTTGGGAACCACTTTGGATTGAGATTTTTTTCCCTATTTTTAAAATTCATTTTATTGGGGACTCGTAAAGTTCTTATCACAATCCATACATCCATTGTGTCAAGCACATTTATGCATATGTTGTCATCATAATTTGTGTGTGTGTGTGTGTGTGTGAAGCACATTTGCACATTTATTGCCCTCATCATTCTCAAAACACTTGCTTTCTACTTGAGCCCTTGGTATCAGCTCATTTCCCCTTCCCTCCCCGCTCCTCCTCCCTTACAAACCCTTGATAATTTATAAATTATTATTTTGTCATGTCTTACACTGTCCGACGTCTCCCTTCACCCACTTTTCTGTTGTCCATCCCGTAGGGAGGGGGTTATATGTAGATCCCTGTAATCAGTCCCCCCTTTCTACCCCACCTTCCCTTCACCCTCCCCGTATTACCACTCTTACCACTGGTCCTGAAGGGTTAATCTGTCCTGAATTCTGTTTCCAGTTCCTTTCTGTACCAGTGTACATCCTCTGGTCTAGCCAGATTTTTAAGGTAGAATTGGGATCATGATAGTGAGGGAAAGGAAGCATTTAAGAACTAGAGGAAAGTTGTATGTTTCATCGTTGCTACACTGCACCCTGACTGGCTCATCTCCTCCACGAGACCCTTCTGTAAGGGAGTGTCCAGTTGCCTACAGATGGGTTTTGGGTCCCCACTCTGCACTCCCCCTTATTCACAATATGGTTTTTTGTTCTTTGATGTTTGATACCTAATCCCATGAACACCTCGTGATCACACAGGCTGGTGTGCTTCTTCCATGTGGGCTTTGTTGCTTCTTAGCTAGATGCTGCTTGTTTACCTTCAAGCCTTTAAGACCCCAGATGCTGTATCTTTTGATAGCCAGGCACCATCACATTTGCTTATTCACCCATTTGTTTTCAGCGATCGTGTGGGGAAGGTGAGCATTATGGAATTCCAGTTTAATAGAACAAAATGTTCTTGCATTGAGTAAGTACTTGAGTGGAGGTCCAATGTCCATCTGTTACCTTAATACTAAACCTATAAATACATGCACATGGATTTATTTCCCCATCATCATATAAATATATTTACATATGTCCATGCCTATATTTAGAACTCTATAAATGCCCTTTGCCTTGGATTGAGATGTTGACAAATGGTTACAAGTTTGTCTGAGAAGTGACTTTGTTAACACACTAACCTGTTGCATGACTTTTTAAAGGTGTTCAATGGAAGCTAAAGATCCTAAGGAGTTGATAACACAGGACCAACTATAGGAAGAATACCAGGACCAGTGCTTGTTGTCATACTGCGGGAATCTCACATTGTTCCTTTTCCTGCCTCAGTGTGTACGTAACTGCAGTCCCAATTTTGTCCTAATAGGATAGTCTC